AAAGTTTAACGTTTCTAAACAGGGAAAGGTGTAGAATAGTACTTAATATCATACATGTATTATACATATATCATATGTTAATTTTAAAACTATGATTGTTAATAACTTTTTAACGAATGACGAGCGACCGTTAAAACCTGTTTGAGGTTACTCAGGGTCGTATCCTTGAGAACATATGTCAAGGTCAAGGTAATTGTGGAGAGTCCCCTGATCTAAAGATTTACCGGTTTCACTACTGTTAAAAATAACTTCAACGCTTAATATCTCAAAAATGATAAGAGTCCGCCGCTTAGTTGTTAAGGCAAAGTTACTCAGAATCATGACCTTGACAACATATGTCAAGGTCAAGGTCATCGGTGAGGTGTCCCCTAATCTAAATAATTACCAATAAAACTTAACGGAGTCCTAAAAATTATTTTAAAAGAATATAAATTTATTTACCTTGTCAAAATTAGTAAAAAAAGAATTAAAATATCCATGAATAAAATTCTTCTATGTCACAATACAAATAAAAATCAAAATTGAATAAGATACTCTGCAGCTATGAAAAAAGAGTGCTGATCTTTGTGATGACAATTGGAATAATGCCGTTAGGATAGAAAGTCAAAGGAGGAAAAAGAGGAAAACAAGGATAGACAAATTTAAGAAGAAGAAAGAGAATGTATCATATTGGTGTCACTGATCTCTATTATACACTGGATAGGATATAGGATACCATTCCCTGTATAAAATTGTGTGACGGTTGGGTGACCGCCATTTTGAGAAAACTTGGTAAAATCTGGCAAACAACCAATCAGAGTCAACCCGCGGCGGTGTTGAGATTCAAACGTACAAATACCGCATTTGAACTTTACATCGTCACTGGAGCATAGTTGAATGATAAGAAATCGTCATTTTCTCTTGAAATAACATTAAATATCATTCTTTAACTAAATGATAATAAAAAACATTTCATCGTAATTAATATTTTGTAGCCTCTGAAATAAGGAACAACAATAAATCAGAACAAACTTAAGAGACAAACAGCTTACAATTATTTATTATGCAAATACGTTTTAATTAACGTTTAATGGTGGTCAATTAGTTTTGTGATCTATTCAAACAAATTGAGTTAGAAGTCGAATTTTATTGTTTTGTTTATGCAAACTTTAATAGTTACAAGTTTTGTTAGTTGTGGCAACGCTTTTTTAATTAAGTAATAGAATATACAAAACAAAATTATTTTAACTGATTAATAATCATACAAACAAAGCTCCTCTGCTATCAGCTGAGCAAATTCAATAACTACACAAATGTTCAAAGATGCTCCATTTCTCAATCGAACAAAGCGTCGGATTTTTTATCGATGTATATGGAAGTTCGAATCCCATTCGGTCCTTATTTTTTCCTTAATAAAGTTGAAGTTAAAAATGTAAATAATTCAATTTTTCATTTTATTTTGTTGTACCATCTTAATTTTGCAACTAAATTATTTTAAATTTACTCCATTTAGCCATATAAGAAACTAGCTCTCGGCTGTTTATTTGAGTATTGGATAAAAACTGAGTGTTTTTTGTAAAAACACAGCGCCATAACTCACTTCACTAATTACTTTTATTATAAATTTCGTTACAAAATTTGTACGTAACCTATCGAAAATTTTTAATGTATTTGGCAGGCCGACCGAGTATCCGGAGACGTCCGATTATATCCGACTGAACACGAGTGACCAATATCGTGATTGGCTGTTTGCAAATGCATACCAGCCCCCTCCAAATAAAATCACAGATTTTTCCACCTGTATCCTATCCAGTGTATAATAGAGATCAGTGCAGCAAAAACTGAGATATACATATGTTCAATGTATACCGTCGTGAAGTTAGCCCCCCAACATTAAAAAAAATAAAATTTATATAGCTCATTCGATTACTCATCGTTTGCACATTTATGCACATTTTTAATTTTCGTTTGCCTTTAGTTATATATTTTTGTTATATGTATATATTTTTATTAATTTTTAATTTAAAAGTTATTTAAAAAACAATTTTGGGAGGGTTAACTTCACACTAGCCCCTCAATATGGAGTACGAATCCCACGTCGAAAAAACTGGTCATCTTTTGAGGCGATCCACGAATCGATCCAATTTTTTACTTCTTCATAAAACCGGAAGTGTTGGTCAGCCAGGTCGTGTGCCATTGGCTACGTTTACACCGTGCACTTAGTCCGCGACCTATACGATAGGTGCCTTTGTTTAACTTACAGGATAATACAAGTTTGTTTCACAAAAAACAATAAAAAGAGTAAGGCAGCTAATTCATCGAAGAAAGAAGGTTCGCCACAACCTGGTTGTGGTGATCGACCAGATCTGGTCTAAGGAATACTAAATCAATAATGTTAAGTGCTTACGGTGGGCCCACCACGCGTGCCGTATACACGCATATATACATACTTAGCTCCGCCGAAGCGGAGCTAAGGGGTGACAGGCAGACGCCTCGTGCGTCCCTTGTCTATTTGCCCAACGACAAAAAAACGTCTGTTCAGCTCGCCTGCGACGGCGGCTGTGATTGGTACGCGACGTACCAATGAACTTTCCATCGAAAACAGAGCCGACTCGAAGGACTCTTTTAGATAATAATACGCATCGTGCGGCTTCGCATCGACACCAGAAGACCGAGATCTTTTGCCGTGTGAACAAGTCGAGACCGAGTTCTCTTTTCGTTAGGGTGTATCGAGGCCGAGTCCTCCTATAATAAACTGTATTCAGAAAAATAAAATCATTATGAAAAATTGATACGTGGAGTGATCTTCCCCGTATACGACGTTACATTTTGGTGCCTCCTGTGAGGTCGTTCGCGCGGTGAACGCGGACGACGACGCTTCAAACATCGAGATTCCGCCAGCCTTTGGATTCCAGTCACCTACGCGAAGACGAGGCTTCGCAAGACAGACGGATCTGGATTCACAATTCGAACCGGGCAGGTCAACCAGCTGGATTCGAGCTAACGGCGAGTACATTATTCAAGGTTAACAATTTACCGATCGCGCATTTCCTTTATCCTTTTCTACTTCATATCGACATCATGACCGATAGAATCAAACTTCTTATTCAGAAGCGGACTTCTTTAAAGTCACAAATCACCAACTTAACGAACTTACTCGAAAAAGATCGACATGGTCATCATGACAAGGCCGCGTTGAAGGCGCGCATGGATCGCGTCACCGAGCTTTTCCATGCATACGAAGATTACAATGACGAATTGTTGACGCTAGATTCGAACGAAAATCATAAAGACGAATTCGCGAATGTCCAAGATAGGTTTTATTCACTCCTTATCAGAGTCAGAACTTTAACAGATTCCATACAGTCCGTCGCAAATACAAGCATGGGTATCGATGCGCCTTCTCCCGTTGATACAGCCTCTACAGTCGTGAATCACAAAATGAAATTACCTAAAGTATCGTTGCCAAATTTCGACGGATCATATGAGAAGTGGTTGTCATTTAAGAATGCCTTCATCGCAATGATAGACTCGCGCACGGATTTGTCGGACGTCGAAAAGTTGCAATATTTGCAATCAGCAGTAACCGGTGAAGCAGCTAACAAAATTAAAATATTGTCGATCGAGAGCGCGAACTATTCCAGAGCTTGGGAATTATTAAAACGTGCGTATGAGGTGAAGCGTATTATTATCTCGCGCCATCTCTCATTGATAAATAATTTGCCAATATTAGAAAAGGAAACTACTGAGGGCTTATCCAAGCTCGCCGACGACGCGCAACAACATGTCGCTTCCTTGGCCGCGATGGGAGTTAGCATAGGATCGGAGATGCTCGTTAATATACTCGAAAGAAAATTACCGAAGAATACCGCCGATAAGTGGGAAGAAACGCTTGGACGCGACGAGTTTCCGAAAATCGACGAGCTTTATGAATTTCTATATCGATCCGCGGTTCGCGTGTCTAAGCGTGTTCGCCCAGAAGCATCTAGACTCGACGACAAGAGTTCATCCTCAGTTAAAAAACCACGTACATCTAACAAAGCCTTTGCAATCAATACGGCGAACAGTTGCATAGCATGTAAAAACAAGCAACATCCGTTATATAAATGCGATAAATTCAAACAGTTGGATGCTTCTAAGCGCATTGAAATCGTAAGAAACGCCAGGCTTTGTTATAACTGCTTGCGTTCGCATAAGGGCAAACCTTGCAATTATGCGAACTGCACGATTTGTCAGAAGCGACACAATACGCTTCTACATCTTGACAAATATCCGTCCGTCACGACGAAAATCGATGCGGCAGATTCGAAAACGGATAAGACTTCATGACTAGAACGGGAAGTCGACAATAGCACCATGTGTCTCGCGGCAATCTCTCCATCATACGCGCCGCAGTTGATGACCACGGCGACGGTATTCGTGCAGAATCGTGAATCGAATTGGATTAAGTGCCGCGCGTTGATGGATACATGCGCTACCGCAAGTTTCGTTTCTGAAGGTCTTGCGAAACGTTTAGGAATCCCGATAAGCGCGTGCACATTGCCGATCGGCGCAATCAATTCTATGAGTACAACGTCTAAGGGCGTCATTCGAATTATCGTCCGATCATTACATAGCGAATTCTCTAAGGAATTAACGTGTTTATTAATTCCAACAATATCAGATTTGGTTCCGTCAGAAATTTTCCCTCGAGAAACTCTTAAAATACCATCTAACATAATATTAGCCGATCCAGAGTTTCACGTGCCGCGTCCCGTGGATATACTAATCGGCTCCGGGCCAACATTGTCCTTATTTTCGATAGGTCAAATTAATTTATCGCGAGACGGTTTTGATTTATATTTGCAGAAAACGAGATTTGGTTGGATTGTCGCAGGGGGAGGCGCTTCACAGAGTCGGTTAAAAACCACCACGTGCGCATTGATCAACTTAGAACAACAAATCGCTAATTTTTGGACGATTGAAGAAATAGCAAATAACATGCCAAGATCCGTCGAAGAAATCGATTGCGAAACACATTTTACAGATAATGTCATTCGTTGTAACGACGGACGATACATGGTACGATTACCTTTCCGTAAAGGTGACGAACGACTCGGTGAATCGCGTACTGCTGCTCTCAAACGCTTATATTCTCTCGAACGTAAACTCGCTTCCGATTCGTATCTGAAAACGGCTTATTCACAAGTAATACAAGAGTATTTAGACATGAAACACATGTCCCTAATCGACGAACCATTTGACGACGGGTTTTATATGCCGCATCACGCGGTGATTAAAAATTCGAGTAATACGACCAAAGTTCGCGTAGTATTCGATGCGTCCGCTAAAGCAAGCAATGGTTTATCTCTAAATAACATGTTGATGGTAGGACCCACTATACAAGATCCGTTGTTTGCGCATTTACTCCGTTTTCGTATATATAAATACGTGTTATCCGCCGATATAGAGAAAATGTACCGGCAAGTGTTGGTTCATCAAGACGATCGAATATACCAGCGTATACTTTGGCGTCAAGACGGTCAAATTAAAACTTTCCAACTTAACACACTTACGTTCGGGGTATCTTCATCGCCTTACCTCGCGATACGCACGATTCAAAGACTCGCCGATGACGAGCATGACGAGTTTCCTAATGCTGCGGAAGTTCTTAAAAATCATCTTTACGTTGACGATTTATTAACCGGCGCGGAGACTGTCGAAGAAGCTCGCTCGTTGCGAAACGAGATAATCATACTATTGTCTCGTGGCGGCTTCAACATCCGACAATGGGCCTCAAACGAGAAACGTATTATCGAAGATTTAAGTCCCGATGCCATGAATGCCAATCTTGTACTCGACAAGACAAACGCTTTAAAAACGTTAGGTATATCGTGGTCTGCGCGCGCTGACATGCTACACTACGCGGTCCGTTCTATTGATCGCAGCGGAAAAATCACGAAACGAATCGTCATGTCAGAAATTGCTAGGATATTCGATCCTCTAGGCATTTTAGGTCCAGTCATCCTGTATGCAAAAAAACTAATGCAAGACTTATGGCGATGCAAGGTAGATTGGGATGAATCTATTCCCGCTAGCATACATTGCGCTTGGGTCGAATTCGCGGCACAATTAAACTTGATTAACCAGTTATCTATCCATCGTCAGATATTAATCCCTAACTATATTGACGTTCAGATTCACGGATTTTGCGACGCGAGCAATACAGGCTACGGTGCTTGTTTATATCTTCGTTCGAATGATGGAGATAACACGCATTGTCATCTTTTATGCGCTAAGTCGCGGGTCGCGCCGCTAAAAACCGTAACAACGCCCCGTCTCGAGTTGTGCGGTGCACTTCTTTTATCCAAATTGTATAACGAGGCCCGTAGCATGATAAAATTAAACTTCAGCAAAGTATTCATGTGGAGCGATTCGACTATAGTATTACATTGGCTGAAGACTTCGCCTCATCTTTTAAAACCCTATGTTTCTCATAGAGTAGCGCAGATACAAGAAATCACACAGCCACTGTTTTGGCGACATGTTAGTACAAAGGATAATCCGGCCGACGCGCTGTCGAGAGGTCAATTACCGAAAGATTTTTTAAATAATCTGTCATGGTTCTCAGGACCGTCATGGTTAATGAAATCTGAAAGCGAATGGCCTAATAACTGCATAGACTTGAACGAGTTGCCGGAATTAAGAAAAAACGTTTGTTTGACGACCAACGTTCCCGACTATAGTATTTTTCAACGATATTCGTCGTATTCGAGATTGCTGCGAATCATGGCGTCGTGCCTGCGTTTTCGTCCGAAAAATATTTATCGTGGACCATTATGTATAAAAGAGTTAGATGAAACAGAAATCAGAATAATAAAGATTATCCAAACTCATAGCTTTTCGTGTGAAGCGAAGGAATTAACACATGGACGGTCGGTAAATAAAACCAATATAGCTGCGTTGAATCCATTCCTCGACGAGAATGGCTTGATCCGTGTCGGCGGACGGTTAAAGGAGTCGAAATTAGCTTACGCACAGAAACATCCAATTTTAATTCCGAGTCGACATTTTCTCACTGATCTCATTATTAGAGAAACGCATGAAAAACATTTTCACACCGGCATTCAAACGACGTTGTATATGATTCGGCAGAAGTTTTGGCTGCTTGACGGACGTAATCAGGTGCGCAAGATCGTACGATCATGTATACGATGTTTTCGGTTTAACGCGGATACTGTCAATTATAAAATGGGTGACTTGCCAAAAAACCGAGTACGCGGCGAGTTTCCCTTCACGAATACCGGAATAGATTTTTGCGGACCTTTTTACGTCAAAGAGAAAAAATATAGAAACCGAAATCAAATTAAAGTGTATGTATGTGTCTTCATATGTA